CGTATCGGCAAAACCAGCGTCTCACGCGCCGGGCGACATGACTTCACTGTGTATCGACCGACAAACATGGCCCTATCTTATCACCGATATGGTTGGCAATACGGCGACTGAAGGCTTCATTACATGACGCCGTGAAGTGTGAAGTCGCCGACGGATTTGGATACCGCGCCGCACGATAGGCTTCAGTCGGCAAGAAGCTGTGAAAAGAGCGCTGATAAGAATCAGGTGCCAATACAGCTTCATAAACCGATACCAATGAGGTTCAATGTGTCTGGCGTAGAGTCCAAGAATTAAGACGACTGGTATCTGACCTAGCATCTTCGATAAATTTTACAATTCCGTTCATGGTAGACAACAAAACGAGCTGGAATGTAAGCAGTAAGTCGAGCCATAGAGAAAAACACGGAACAAATAGTGCATGGACGCGTTTCGATTATTAAATCTTCATCAGCATGACATAATCACAGAGAAAACAAGATATAGCACACAAACATTCGAGCTCGTCACAGTGCAATCGTCTGCAATCAATGTAAAACGTTTGGAAACATTTTATTCCAAATTTGAAGGATAGCTACCTAATAGAAATGATAACTGTTACGTGGCAGCATCCCATTGCCATTCATATATAGCACAATATGCCTTCGGGTAAGCAATATTCAGTCCCCAATTTCTATGTGATGATAATGGGTGATGCATTTCACCCCTTGCAGCCCTCATCACCGCAATCCTGAGACATTTCCCAACAATTATTACAACCACGATACAATTACGGGAGCGCTATCCTCCTGAATACCCCTGGGGCGCCAAAATCTCATCAGGAGCCGCCCGGCCCGGGGCGGATCCGACCACCTTATCGTGCCACCGGCGCGGGACATCTCCGATGGTCGCCGACTCCAATCAGCCACCGACAATCGCTGTCGGCTCGGGTATAACTCAATGAAGCGCGGCACCCGACAACCGGCGTCGGCCGGCGGTCCTCGAACCACGCCCGTTTCGTTTGAGGACCACAGCGGGAAGCGGATCGATGCGTCGAATGGCTGGGCCGCCCGCCTGCCGGCGGCCGGCGGCACAAAGGCGGCTGCGCGCGCGCCGCCGCCGCCGCCACTGTCACTACCTCAGCGGGGAGTGGCACGGCTGTGTCAGCTGTGCGGTGCATGTTACTAGGTGAGGCAGCCAGGCCGTCTCTGAAACGGCGGCGGTCCGCCCAGCTGCCTGTCAGCCGGCCATAAGACCGTCAGTGCAGTAGTGTCACCGATCTTCCGTGGCACGTGCGGTGCCGCCTCTCTCCATTGGTCACCTTGCACCGTAATCTCTACACAATGTGACCTGTTGGTACTGATTAACACTGCCCTGGCGTGCTCCTATCACCCACCAGCCACCAGGTCAGCGGCGCCGGCGGTGACAACACCCTCAACCCATCCCAACTCCCACTCATTCCTATAATCGGCGGTAGTCAGCCACGCTGGGCGGCAACTACTCCCACCTATCTCGCCCACACCAAGCGGTCAAGGCACGGCCAATAACCAGCACCCCGCGACACTCCCCAGCTCAGACCAATTGGCAGCAGCGCGACAGCGAACTCTAGTCGCGGCCGCCGACCCCGCCGACCACACATTGATCCGCGTCAGCCTTCGGACAGCAAAAAACACCGCGACCAAAAACACCGCGCCTTTCCGGCCGGCCTAGATAGGCACTCGCCGTCTCGCGGACAAACAAAACCTAGCAATAATCGCAGCGAGGCAAACACTTCGCCCTGTGGGGCCGGCCTAGGACGGCCGCTGGGTGGGGACTTGGGGCACCCGTTCGGTCGGGCTGGTCGGGACGGGATAGGGAATGGTCCGGCAGACACCCTGGCAGAGTCCCTCCCACCGGTAATGCATCTCCCAGGCGCACAAAAAGCGGCATCGAGCGGTGACGTCACCCAGCTGAGATGACCTCGCCCCGGCACTTGCCTACGGCCCCAGCACTATACCAGCGGTGTGCGATATTGGGAGAACGATCATCGCACGGCGAGTCTCACTGCATACCAAAAGCACAGCTCAGATAAGGAGTGTTTCACTAAATTGAGATCCAGCCGCCTCGGTAGACAGCGAACGGATAATCAGCAACGGGGAGACCAGTCGCACCACTGACCACCGGCCTTAGTGAAGAGTGATACAGGCAACTGCACTGGCAATGAAACCAGTCAGCCCAGTGGTATTGAACACTACACTGACTGGTTTTCCTGCACTACGCGACGACCCTGACCGCTGGGCTGTAATCTGACCGCCCGACCGACCGGCCAGCGGGCACTGGCCTGAGGTAGGAGTCGCGCCCGGGCACTGGCCTGAAGTAGGAGTCGCCCGCGCCAGATGCCGCCCAGGTACCACACAGAACTTAGACCAAATACACCATAATAGCAGCGGCCGGCTCCCACGACCGCCGCCAGCCAAACTGACAGGCGCAGACAGGAAGTGGAAGACGCCGCATCACCGCCGCCCTGGTCAGACAGTCTTCGCCTTCCATAGATGGCTATATGAAGAACGCGCGATTGCAAACAGTAAGTAGTTAGTAGACGAAAGTTAATAGGAAAACATTAGAACATGCGTGAATGGCGATTTACTTGCACGATCCGAGGAGGCGTTCACAACCAGTACGTAGCAGCTCAAAACATGTACGCAGGTGTTCAAAACACGCACGCAAGCGTTCAAAACATTTTCGCTGAGTAGGATCGAAGCGAAGCCATTATGCGGTTAACAGTGCAGTAGCTAAGCCAGGGCTAAGCCGTGTACTTTTACGCGATACTGCACAAGGCCAAAACGAAAACAGGTTCTCACAAGCCACCGGGAAACTCCCAAACTTCACCAGCTTTTCCATAAAAGGTGTCAAAATATCAAATGAGGCTTTGGCGAAATATGCCCCCCCCCCCTTTGGATGACAGACTAAAAATAGCCAAATGAGCCTTGTGTTTCCTCCTACAACGGCTGCAAAGTGACCGGCTTACATCGACTTTCTGTCGCTTTGTGGCCGGCCAGTAGGCGGTGTCACAGCCGTCTCAGTACCGCTACACACTGGACAGCCGGGCGCACCACGTCGTCGCGTCCAAAGCATAATGGCCCCGGATACACCGTTCCTACCAGCAATGGGACAAGCAGACCCCACCGACCCCTCCCGCCGGTCACGAACGCCGCCTGGAGCCGCGTCCAGTCACGGCCGGGCGAGCTACACGACCGCTGTTACACTGCCGGGACCCGAAGACAGCTGTCGTCATCACGGGGTTCAATTTCACACACAGCGGGCGGTCGGCCGGCGCAGACGCAGCAATGCAGCCGACACTGGAGGGCAGCCGGCAGGCGTACCGACGGCGAGCGCTGCACGAGCTCCGCCAGCGGCGATATGACCGGCAGAACATGATCGTCGGCTGCCGTATTCGGTGTCCTGTCACCATCATCAGAATCCCAGCAGACATATCTCAGCAAACCGCAGTCTGCAGAGACTGCTGGCAGCGCCGGCAGATGGCATTTGAGCCTCCCTTTCCATCCGATGTCAACAGAGCTCGACACAGGCAGCGCCGTGCCCTCGCCGGTCGTCAACGAGCGACAGCTGCCATCTCCGCTGCGCCGATCGCGGCTCGGCGCCCGACCAACCGGCTCGCGGCGTCCCATCTGATCGGGCCGCCGGTTGAGAGTGCCACTCCTGCATACGTTGCCCTCAAGTAGATGCACGACGCGAGCCGTTCCCGACGGCCGGCGTCGCGCCTCGCCGAGCCGTTGTGTTTGTATGCAGGTGATTCGCTTCTCGAGCTAGTTCGACCTTCAGACAGTGTTGCAGTCAGCGTCTCCCAGCCCGATCGTCCCGCGGTAGCAATGAACTGTCGCAGCAGACAGGCGATCACCGCCTCTCTCCCACCAGCTCTCTCAGAACGGCTACAGCCCGTCTCTGCCAGGGCGCTCACCGCGTCCACATTGGCTGAATTGCCGCAGAGCTATTTTCGTGACTGGAACAATAATGAGCCATCCGAGCCAAAAGGCGGCACGGCAACGAGCGGTTGAGGCACGCGGTCGTGGGGGAGGGGGTCGGCTGCGGTGCTGAACCGCACCGCGGGCCCACAGAAGCCAGTCGAGGGAATCCGATTAGTGCCCATGCCGCGTGCACCGACCAGTACTCTGTCGACAGTCTGCTGGCAGTACCGGTCGAGCCGACACAGCTCCGTTTGCCGTGCCGGTTCCGTGCAGCGACCCTGACCGGGCGGCCACCGCTCCGCGGTCTGCAGAGAGCCCAGCTGCAGCGTCCAGCGTCCGAGCAGCCTCTCCAGCCGGCGACCGAGAGCGGCCGACCTCCAGCCGACCTACGGCTCGTTCCGCCGGCCCGAGCACACTGCGACAAACCTGACGTCATGGCCGGGCCTGTGCAGGCCGAGGGGCCCCGCTGGGAGTCCCCACTCCACCTCTGAGAGCAGAGAACAGCAGCCCCGGACCGAAAAACAGCCAGAGGGACTAGTGCTGGGCCATCAGCCGAACTTCACACGGAGTCAGATACCACATGATCTCAGCGGCTTGACAGGTGATGAACGAGATAACGCTGAACTTGACGGATACCGCACGAACGCTAATTAACTCGGAAAATGATACCACAGCCTAGTCCAGCCAAACGCAGTGTTTTGAAGGAAAACGCTGATATTGCATGCACGTTGCGATGTTGCAGAGCTCAACACGGGACCACCGCGGCGGCGCCCGAAGGATCTGACGGAACCTCATCCACCGTCCCGATCGGCACGCGCGCCGAAAACAGCCATTTGTATGCGGAACATCGCTCAGTTGTCGTCGGGCTTACGGTCGAGGCAGAACCACATGCAGACCGATCGCACAGCCTTGCAATGGTTACAGCAATGTTTCTAGACGACGCATGTCAGTGCTTCCAGCCAGCGGCGGTCGGTCGGTCTGTCCGCCCGTGTGCGTGTGTGGTGAGTCCTGGAGCTGACCAGAGACAACAGGAGCGCCAGGGGAGGCCGGCAAACTCACCTGGTGTGGCCGACGTCACCGGGACGTCTCCTCCGTCAGCTGCGCGCTGTCACACAGCCCTCGCCACCGGGCACCTGGAACGAGAGCAATACACGTCACTCGGGTGACACACATTGTCACACAGGTGAACTCGCACAGTCACAACTCACAAGGGCCCTCGCCATCGCGCAACTGAAACGGAGACACCGCAGGGACGAGGACGACTTGGGAGCGAGGCAAAGTCCAAATTATGTACTGAATTACTACTGAAAATGGCCTGGCAGGAGCGAATCACCAAGCCCGATTACCATGTGGATAGGTAGCTGGAACATGACACTAGCCATCTACCTGCATTACCGGAGAGGTAAATGTGAATTTTAATCTGTCAACTCAATACGTGGTCCTGTAACACGAGCCGTGAGTCCGACCGGGAGCCCGTGCCGGATCCCTGTGCCATTTTCCAGGCCCGAGCGAATTTATGCTGTGAACGCCCGATTTGTCCATGCATTATGCATGCGGCATGTGCGGCTAATTCGCTACAGCACGAGATTGGCCGCGAAGGCCTCTCTGACGGTCTCTGGCCGGGACTGATTGTCTCTGACGGGAGCTCTAACCGTCCGGCTAACAGACTCTATAGGTCTCTGTCTGACAGGCCTTTCTGACGGCCTCTAACCGGAATGGTCTTGTCTGACTGGCCTCTCTAATAGTCTCTGCAACGTCTCTCGGATGATATATGATGGCCAGTCTGATGCGGTTGCCGAGTGGGCCACCGAAAAGCGGAATGGTCCGTCTGTTCCTCAGACAGGGGGGGGGGGGGACGATCTGCATGCCTATAGCAGTCTGCAATACCACAAGGGAGGTAGCCTCTGGAGGTCTGTAAACCCCTCAGGGAGGCAGCATCACTGGCCTGTACCGCCTCGAGGGAGGCAGGCTGACTCTGCCGGCACCGGTGTGGCTGTTGGCAGCGGCCGCGCTGCGCCGAGTCGCTCCCCGGCTCCGACCGTTCACGGCTTCCGGGGCAGGCTGCCAGCGGCGGCTCCTGTCCCAGCGGCCATACGGTGCCGTCCCGGCCCTCCTGCCCTCCTCCCCGTCACCGCCGCGACAGCTGTGCAGCCATCAGGAGCCGTGACAGCGGCGGCGGCACTCGTGGCAGGGTGACACAGATGAGCTGATCACGAGCAGAGGCGAGGGCCGAGACCGGCGTCTCCAGGTCTCTCCCTGCAGCCGAGCCTCCACGCCATTACCCACTGTGGTGGATAATGTAACGGGCGCCGCGAGCGTCGCGTCACAATGACCACCCTGCTCGGCGACAATTGTGGCGCAGCGCGGTGCGGCGCGGTCACGGCTCAGTTACGGTCGTCGTCACACGATGGCGCCGCGCGCTGACCGCACACGGCTCACTGGGCACGCTGATTCGGCGGCCGTGTCCCGGCCATCAGCACCGCGACCACAGAGGCACACGGGTGTGGGGTGCACCCCGGGCCAGCAGCATGGCATGTGGAGCGGAAACGAGCCAGCGGCCGGTGGGCGGCTTGTTCTCGTACCTGTTTCAATGTATGATCTTGTATGCCTATCTGTATGCTGTTCACGGTAAAATTAATTTAAATGAGAATTAAACATAGCAAAGTCAAAAGCATAGGCGGCAGACCGGGGGGGGGGGGGCACCGAGACACCGTGCCTCCCCCCCAATTTTGCCATTTTGACATAAATAAGCCCTATGGGCGTTGCATGGAAAGAATGGGACCAAAAGTCGGCGGTGCCCCCCCCCCCCCGTAATTGAGGGTATTCCGCCGCTACTGCTTAGTCCGTGATTGTCCTCTGCGCTAGAGCTCTTTCACGAACACTGAACAGCGGCGCACAAAGGGAGAACGCAGCAGGCCTTTCACCAACAGCGACTAGCGAGCGTGGCCCATTGAATCATATACTGCCACCACCGCCACACGTTTTCTCCGAACAGAGCCCCCGAAACTCTGCCAAAACCGCCGAACGGCCGAGACTCTGAGCAATTTCCTCTGGCACGCCGTCCAACATCATTGCGACACAAACAGCGTGGCCACAGGAAAACTCGGCCCAGATTAATTCACGGCTTTTTATCGTACAGACAGTGCGGCGACCCCGTGTTATTCGCACCGCGTGTTTCTCTTTTGTTAGCGTGTCACGCCATTGGGAGTCTTTGTTTCATCACGACCAAAAATATACACCGTTTCGGTGTTCCTATTATCTTTGGCGCCGCGTTCACTCGTGATTTGGTGTTTTTGTCTCTCGTTTTTAGCGCACGCAGACGAGCCGTACGGTACGGGTATTGGAGTGACGCTGCGCCGTTTGCACGCCGCAGACGCGCCGCAGACGGCAGAAAACAGGGGGCGATGACGAGAGCAAACACATGCTGCGTCCGTATCATCCAGCTGGGTTTGTTCAAGACTGTAATGGTTCAGACGAGACGAGTGAGCATAAGCGGCGGCGCCACTTCTTTTTCTTCATTTCCATCCGATAACAGACAACCTACCTGAGGACATTACAGAAAGAGGATGGATTCTCATTGATTGGTTTTCCAACACTTTACTGTCACCGCTCAGTGGAAAGAGCACGTGACACTGGTTCAACGACAGTGATAACCTGTGTTCCGCACACTGATCACAGTAAGGTGCAACAGCCTCACAACACGATTTATCAATATGCGCTGACGTTGAATAACTGCCAGCTGTTCCACAGCACCGACCGCAGACATCCGCCGTTCCCAGCAAACACCGGCAGGTAAAATAATCTATCAGCCACCACCTGCGGGACGAGTCGTCGATTAGGGCAGAGCGGTCTCGCTGGTACCGATGGACTCGATAGCGCGACAAGACCCCTATCCAGAAACAAACGCTCGACAAGACCCCTATCCAAAACAAAATTCAGATGTGTCAATGATCTGGCGTCTTGAAATTAAAATTTCCCACTGACAGAAAAAACTCCGTTGGAGCTCGCTTTGTTTGTGCTTCAATAGATGCGACAAGGGGTGTCTGATGCCGTGTATGCGACATCCATTTGTGTGCTAGCCACCGCGACCGGCCACGCCCGTGTCTAGACTACGGCCACGCCGGCACGAAACCGAGGCAGAGCGGCAGAGGAGAGCGGCAGCCGAGAGGGGGTAGAGGAGAGCTCAACCGGTCACAGGGCACCGCCGCAAAAATAGCCTCTCTCCGTGAGTGAGTCACCGGCGTGGCGCGGCGCGGCGGGCGGTTGGGCAGACTAAAAGCGCACCGGCTCCCCAACGGCCCGTCGGCGATTCACCTCGGAACCGCCGCCTCAGACAGCCCGGTGACGTCACCAGGTGGGGTGTGACGTCATCGAGGGTTGTCGATTCGAGACCCGCCGCGGCCCCATCGGCTTCGGCAGCCATTCATAAACAAACGGCGAAGGCCGGTTTGCCGACAGGCGACGGCGCACGGATGAAAAGGCGGTTTCACCAATAGAGTTTGATCTGCATAGCGACTCGTCGCCACTGAATCCGGACGGGGGTCAGGGGTGACTCCAGTTAGTCAAAGGAGTCGGACACAACTTTACTGAACTAAACACATGCAAGTCGCGCTTTAAAATAAGTTACACCAAGCGCCGAATATGAATAACATCATTGAATTGTTCAAGCACTTCATTTCTCACGGCAATATTATTGTTTCTTAGTAAACAAACCCGAACTTTTGTCGTCATCATTTCCTCACGATTCTTGGCCTCTTTTCATAGTGGGGAGGATCATCAGCCAAGCTAATATCTGTCCCTATCCTATTCAGTCCGATTCAGCCTGCTAATTATGACCGGTGCCGACGGCCGGCCTTGGGGCTCGGGGTCTGTCCTCCCACAATGTCGGGACCGACAGGTAACGGAACACAGCGGGAGAGAACACGCCGCGCCCCGTCCCTCCCTCTGCTGGGGTCGCGCCGGGTCACGACCGCCGGCACAGGTCAGGTCAGTGACCGGAGCCCAGTCGTGCTGGCGGGTCTGCCAAGTAAACTTGTGGAGAAAGACCTTCTGAGAGCAGAGGAAGAGACTGGAGTATATTACTCCAAAAAGAAAACATACGTTGGACTATAATAGCAGATGTAAGCAGATTTTGCATGTAACAGGGCCGACTTTCGGCACTTTCAGTAAGGCCCCGTCACGCCTGGTGGTCAGCGACCGTAGCGTTCGTTCGCATCCTCGGCTCCCGAGGGCGGCGGCGGCAGTGAAGACTCGGGACGGGACGGGACGGGACGGGGGAGCGATCGGACCGGAACCGAGCGTCGGCGACGCCAGATCGCTGAGCCGAGTGTGGCCCATGCCAGTATAAATAAATACTGGCGGCCGGTGGGCGGCCGGCGGACGGACGGCGGGCGCCGCAGACGGCCACGGGGGCGCCACTGGACAACTGACGAGCTGCGGCGGACGATGGACGAGCTGCAGCGCCCTACACCCCCAGGGGCAGAGACATGCCGGACTTTCCTAGTGAGCCAGGGCATGTGCAAAAGAGTACATCAAGCCACTCGCTTTGTGAACCTAACACAGGAATAGGCAAAGGATTGGTCCGATGAGCTTCAGTGTCCTGATGAGGAATACCGACAGTAGTCTAGGAGACCAGCGACTATTCAGCTTGGGGAGCGCGAAGCACCACTAAAATCAGTCACAGACCAGTATCATCCGTTGCTTCTCCGCCGGTCACGACCGGTCATACGACCTCAATCCGCCTGCCACGTACGGCCGCTGCCCGACCAAAAAACGACGGCCAGGAAAACCGGGACACAGCACGCCTTCCATGAACACACCGCTACTCATACAAAGCACCAAGGACGAAGATCACCCCGCGGCCTAGTAAATGTACATTTTTACCAGGCAGTCATACGATAGTCTTGTTAAGTAGGATTAGGAAGACAGTATGAAGAACAGACAGCCGATATTCGCTGTATCACCTACCGCAGAACCCCACCGTCAACAGACCCGACTCCGAACACCGTGTCGACACGGAGCAGTCCCCGTGGTCCGCAATCCCGCCGTCAGCACACCGCACACCACCACGCGCCTCCCGCACGCCGGTCAGTCGGGCTCGCCGCCCTGTACTGCACTCGGCCCGTCGGCGGCGACCGCCTCGGCGCGGCGGCGGCGGCGACCGCCCCGGCGCGGCGGCGGAGGCGGCCCCTCCCACCGGCGCCGGCGAGAGTATCGGACGGGGCCTGATAGCGCACGGCCCGGCGCTCACACATACACCACCAGGTGCCGGCCGGCAAGAAAGAGAAGGGCTCACTCCACTAGAACAGTGAACTGGTGGACAGGTTCTGCCAGGTGGGCAGCTGGTAAACTTTACATATCAGATTGGTGGCATGTGACTCTAAAACAACGAAATTAATTGGTGACAGGTTATGTGCACCAGCTAGGCTGTAATATGAAAGGTGAACACTGGATATGCTCCATCAGTTCATAATGCATTCTGAGCACATCTAAAAAAAAGTACCCAATAAAAAGTATCTAATAAAAAGTACCCAGGCAAAGAGTGCAACACCAATATCAAGCATACTTCTAAAAACAGCTTTTCATAACTGATACCAATAATGAACTATGAAGTTCTTTATGGCTTCTTCATAAAACTTGAAGTTAAGGAAACATAGCAAAAATAAAATTGAGCTTAGGCAACAGCATGGATTCAAAAATGCAGACCACTGACCAAAAAGATGTGAAAGCATTGTCATCAAATTAAGAATTATTATCAAAGCATTATTATGGTGTACATATACCTACCTAAATAAGCATTAGAACCATCAAAGGGAGCATTGAAGCCAGCTGAAGAGTGAGAAAGAAAGCAACAATCTGAGTGCAAAACATACCAATGCAGAAACACCAATAACTTTGAGAGGTCTACGTAAGATAGGAGAATTGAACCTTACTAACATAAACTACCCAGCTTATTTGCTTGCCTCCAGTAACCCCTTTATGACATCAGTCACACAAAAAACTGCATTAAGTGATAAACATTTACATTAGCATAAGTGATTATTTTTTGCGTGGCTGGTTTCTCATGCTTGATATTTTTAGAAACATGAATTGAAACAGAATTGAAACTGCTTTAGGATTTTCCCCACTCTCACCCACACAGACACTAGAAAGTGCTTTTTCTCTGTCAGATGCATTGCTGTTTGGAACTCACTGCCTGAGGATGCTGTCCATGCACCTAACATAGCTAGCTTTAAGAAAATGATTGAGGTACATGCACGTAATAGCCTGTTCAGATATGATTGAGGATGAGCAGTGCTGATTTTGTAAGTAGTTATAGGTATGTAGGTTACTTACTTGTAGCTAAGCGTGTAGAAATGTGACTGTGTTCATCTGACGAGCTTGTGGAAGACGCACAATACCAGTCAAAACTCCCAGGACTATGTAATGGTCAAGAATATCACAACTGGGCTGGCGCGTCTGGCATTCAGGGTTCCTTCCAATTCCTTTCGGTCCTTCCACCTTGCCTTTTCTTTCCGACACAAATGGGAACCCAACCAGGTAAGAGAACCAGGTAAGAGAACTATGCTATTTTTGTTGGCAAAATTGATCTATGAACTTATCATTATGAAATAATATGAACATAGCAAAGAATGAATGATCATAATCAAAACTTTACAATGACAAAGACTCAATGCTAAAACTGGTTTACTGAAGGCGGCCTAATGTCCAATGAACAGGGACGCCTTAAAACCAACCATTTTCATGTTTACTGAATACCTTAGCCTACAATTAGGCCCTGTCACTAGAAGTGTAACTAATATATTAAAGCTATTTCCTAGAAGAAAAAAAACTCAATAAAATGTATATTTCATTGAAAGTTGAAGTAGGAATGGGAAAATTAACTATCTCAATCTGACTCAAATTGAATTCAAATTGTTCCCTTGGTTTGGCCGGAACAGAAGGTGGATTGTGGAGTGAGCATGAAGAACAACTGTGCATATAGAGCAGCAAGAGGATGGTAAAATAGGCATATTTCACTTTATACACAGTAAAATACGCAGGAATGAAAATAAATCGCTCCCAAATCGAATGTAACGACTCATGCTCCCCGGCAATTCCAGTCGACAATTACGGCGCAAACGGGAGTAAGCATCTTCAGCCTCAACTTTGTTTCGTACAAAAGATACAGCATCTTAACTCTTGCGTTTCATGCACTCACCTTGCAGAATGGTAGTGGGTCTGTCTTCAGAGCTTTAGCGACACTCACATCACCAGAAAAGCACAATCGTCCCGGGCCGAAATACCCACACAAATGTGCCACTCCCACAAATTGCCAGAGCAGTGGCGCCAGATCTGAAATAGAGATTTATCACATTTCGGGATTTAGTCTCCCTAGCTAGGGATATTTGAGTAGAAATCCAAGCATATCAGCCAAAGCTGCCGTGCTGTCATCTATAGCTGTACAAGCTTGATCGAACACCCGCTAGAGTGCAGCACCTTCCGTGTAACGCTAGTCTTGGCTGGCTGGCCCTCTGCTGTGCTCTGCTGGTCCAAAACTCGGCCCTCGTCTCACTACGTGGTAGCTCAAGCCAGGCACGTACCCAGGATTTCGCCCAGGAGGGGGCCACCTGCTTCCGAAGGGCCCTTAGGTCACCCGGGGGCCCCCAGGCCGCCCAGGCGACCAGGGGCCCCAGGCAACCAGGGGCCCCCATGCGACCAGGCTCCCGCTACCAGGGGCCCCCTTGGCGACTAGGGGCCCCAGGCGATCAGGGGCCCCATGCGACCAGAGGCCCCCATGCGACCAGGGACCCCAGACTAGACTATGCGACCAGACTAGGCGACTAGGGACCCCAGGCAATCAGGGGCCCCATACGACCAGGCTCCGGCTACCAGGGGCCCCCTAGGCGACCAGGGGCCAGGAAACCGGGGGCCCTCGGATGACTGCAGGGGCCCATCGGGTCATCAGGGGCCCGTCGGGTAACCAGGGGCACATAAATGAAACTTTGATATCATTTTTTCTTCCTCGTAAAAGACGTTTTATCCAGTATTTGAAAAAAAATATACCGGGGCCTGAGGGGCCCCCTAAGCGCCTTCGGCGCTCAGGAGGGGGCCATGGCCCCCGTGGCCCCCCCCCCTTGGGTACGTCACTGGCTCAAGCTGGTCGTTTTTTTTTTTTTTTTTTGATAGGTACTACATTCACCAAGAACAGTTCGAAAGCTATGTTATCAGTCGATCATACATCGTTACAAAGACACGATGTTCCACTCTTTGGTTTGGGCAATGGGCATCGAGTTCGATCAGGTTTTCTCGGTTTTGTCGAGAAAAAAAATGCCTTCCGACCTGCCAAACGCGTATTTGGAATTTCCGACCTCGACGAGCGTCTGTGGTAGAAAACCACCACTTTGGTAGGGGAAACTTCTGCTGTCTGCTACAATTTGCGCTGCATGTCAAGCTATTGTAGCGCCACATCTACGCATATACATTTCCGACCTCGACGAAAATCTCGCGGCGCTTCGCGCCGATCCGCGCCGCCCATTCATACTGAAGACCAAAAGAGGTTATGAGTTCATAGTTGTGATAAATACCTAAAGCAACCACCACGTATGATGTATACTTAACAGTTAACTATCAGATTGACGGCATGTGTCTGCAATTATACCCTGATAGAAGACCGGAGGCTCTGGTTACCCGTGTAAAAATGAATACTTCAGATGCGTACCGCGTAGGAATTCAGCCCAGTATCGTTGAACAGATAGTGCATCGGCCTGAAAAAGTACGGTAACGATACCTAATTTTGGGTTTTTAGTCGGCCGATCCCGGATCCGTCCCCCCTGTCGAAAATCTGTGGCGACTGGCGACGCCCCTGGCACGTAGAACAAAAGTACGTATCGCAAATGTTCGTACAGTATAAAGTACGTATGGACAAAACTACGTCAAGGACAAAAGTACGCATGGCAAAAGTACGTACAGCATAGAGCACGAATGGATAAAAGTACGTCAAGGGCAAAAGTACGTATCGAAGAAGTACGTATAGGTGCATTATTAAGTACGCATGGACAAAAGTACACGTCAAGGACAAAAGCACATATCGTAAAAGTGCGTACAGCATAAAGTACGTATGGACAAGAGTACGTCAAGGGCAAAAGTACGTATCGCAAAAGTACGTCGAGTATAAAGTACGTATGGAGTAAGTAGGTACGTCAAGGACAGAAGTAGGCGTATCGCAGAGGTAGGTACGTACGTACGGTACAAAGTACGTATACCTAAAGTACGTCAAAGAAGAAAAGATGCATCGAAAAAGTACGTAAATTATAAAGTACGTACCCTTGCTGACTTGCATAGATGTCGCAATCGGTCGCAACTACAGCGAGACATGCAGTGCAAACGGTAGCAGACAGCAGTAGTTTCCCTACCAAAGTGGTAGTTTTCTACCACAGACGCTCGTCGGAGTCGGAATTTCCAAATACGCCTACCAAACAGTGGAACGGGCCATGGCTCCCACTCGCCACTGCCACCTATCCCAGTTGCTAAGCAAACAGCAAGACATCACTGTAGGCGGCAGCACTGTTGCGTCTACCTGCCTAATATGCCCTCGTCTCAGTAGTCCGAAATCGAAGCACCTGAAAATCCTGGCCACGGCCCACTGGCCAGTGGCCACTACCATGGGCCATGACTATTTTTTGTTGAGCTTCATGGACGCTTCTGTTAGAATTCCAGGGTGGCCATGACGTCCTACTACAGCTACAGCCTTCAAGTTATTCTCAATTGTCAAAACAACGAATGTCTGCCAAGCAGCGAGGCAGCTAAGCCTCAGTCAGTGCTGCTCTGCTAAATCCTTTTTTGTGTTATTTAGGTGTATAGGATTGAGCCCAGTATGTTGCATCGGAACTGTCGTTATACTGACCACGCGCTAATCCGTCAATTTCGAGTGAGGAAAACTTATCCAATGCGTGTTCCCCGATGACAACGCAATGGTAAAAGCTATACCTAGGGCAGAATGTGTCTGGTGAATGCGGTCTCTGATTAATAACGATCGATGAACATTTTTCTAGTTAAATCTACCTCCACTCTTATAATTAAAGTACATTTTATTGGAACAAATTACGGTTTTCCTGACCCCTGCAAAAGGCGCATTTAAGCA